ATGTTTATTGCAGCACTATTTACAATAGCCAAGAAATGGAAGCAACCTAAGTGCCCATCAGTAGATGAATGGATAAAGAAGATGTGGTACCAATACACAATGTAATATTATTCAGCCATAAGAAGAAAACAAATCCTACCATTTGCAACAACATGGATGGAGCTAGAGGGTATTATGCTCAGTGAAATAAGCCAGGCAGAGAAAGACAAGTACCAAATGATTTCACTCATCTGTGGAGTATAAGAACAAAGGAAAAACTGAAGGAACAAAACAGCAGCAGAATCACAGAACCCAAGAAAGGACTAACAGTTACCAAAGGGAAACGGACTGGGGAGGATGGGTGGGAAGGGAGGGAGAAGTGGGGGGAAGAAGAAATTGGGCCTTACGATTAGCATGTATAATGTGTGTGGGGGGCACAGGGAGGGCTGTGCAATACAGAGAAGACAAGTAGTGATTTTACAGCACCTCACTACGCTGATGGACAGTAACTAATGGGGTATGTGTGGGGGATTTGGTGAAGGGGGTAGTCTAGTAAACATAATGTTCCTCCTGTAATTGTAAATTAATGATACCAAAATAAAAAAAGAAAACGTTCATTGTAGTTAAGAAAGAATCCCTGCAAGCGTTCAGGTTTTCCAAGAAGCTGAAGCTGATACAGAATGCATGAAGCCAATGGACCCACTGGAAATATAAAGCATTTGTTCTCTAGTAATCAATTTCCTTTCCAGAGCAAAGTGAGATGACAGAAGTGACACCTCCTACACAAACCTCTCTATTTCTTAGTCTTATTGTAGCAGATGAAACAACAGATTTTCTGTTCTCTGTCCCTAAATTTGAGGGCAGGAAGCTAAATATTTCCTCTCCAGAGATGATTTTCTTATGTGTCACCAATGTCAAGGTTTGGGGATCAGTAAAATTTAGTGTAAGGTATTACAATCTGGCAAGGTGTGTTGCCAAATGTCTTAATTTCAAATAATGTGGGAAGAAAGTGCTGAGTATGTGAATCCAAGTGACCTTGATACTTTACAATGAGCAGTTTCTCAGTTAAACCCAAGAATGTCATCTGAATCCACATATAGGTCCATCAGAATGAAAGACTACCTACATAGGTCACAGATGATACACATCTCTATCCCCCAGCCAGGGAAGCAGGTGAGACTATGTATACATACATATTTCAGTATAACCCTTCAACACTCTTAGACAAAGCATTCATCTTCTTAATGATAGATTAGTAATGTTATCTTTTTATGCAAAGAGTAACACATTTGATTTTACATACAGTGACAAATTTAAATATGTATAGTATAACACAATGCAGTAATGATCAAGGAAAAACATTTTAAAACTAGCTAAGCAATTAAAGCCAGTACCTTGAACACATCTGAAGTGTTTATTTATAGGAATGATATCTTGAACATGCTGTTCCTTCCCATGCAACTGGATTATTAGCCTAGGAAACATTAGAATGCATCAATGAATAACTAGTGAAAAACCCAAACATTTAACAACAAAATACATTGCTGTGTTTTTAGACAAATCTAGTCTATTTATTAGAACTGGCTGTATCTCCTGGATCTGAGTATCATGCCAGCCAGATACTGCTCTAGGTCTAAAAGGATATTAGTGGCGATCAGTAACAGAATACCCACACTGTTCTATGCCATAAAGTACATATAACAGTCTATGTCCTAAAAACAGCTTACAATCTTAAGAGCATGAATTACAGGGCATGCACCTTCAGGTATACATAGCAGAATGAAGAAATAATGGCAGGGTGGAAATTCCACAAGGGCAAAGAACTAATGGCTAGGTGTGAACTCCACAAGGGCAAAGACTATGGCCATCTTTTTGCCACAGTATTTCTAGCACCTAGTATGGTGCCTGGCATACAAAAGCCAGCCAAGTTTGTTGAATAGATGAATTAGAAATTTCATAAAGTAGCTTTCCAAATACACACCCATGGCTTTTACCAAAGAATGGCTCTATCTCTTCAAACTAGTATGCAGGTTCATGGAGCAGTAAGAGAATGTGCCCAGCCAGCTGGATCAATCAAAATAACCCTAGTGACCAACAGGGTAGCAGATACGACAACCAGATTGCCTTTAGATCCCTTGTGTTTTTACTCTGGTGTCCAACTTCATGTTGGTATTTCCAGGTTAAAAAAACTGCATTTGGCCCCCCAGCATGAAATGGAAGACTTCTACATTCCTATGCACTCCTGAAATATTTTCATTTACTACTTATCCTTAATGGCCCAGAATTAGTATAACCTACTGGCAAACAACGACTCTGAACATCTCCCAGCTTCCCCCAAATCAAGCACTCTTCAGGTGGTTCTTTTCTCCAGGAATACTCTTTTTTACTTCCTGGGACCCAGCTCAAATATCACCTCTCTGAAATTTTTCCCAATACCCTAAGCAAAGCTAGTGGCCTCATGCCCTTTGCTTGCCCCTCTAACAGAGGACTTACACACTCCATCATGGTTATATTTATTTCCCTCACTGATTTGAGCTCCTTGAAAGCAAAGATCCTACCTAACAGATGTTCAAAAAATATTGGTTGAATACATGATTAGATGAACTAGTTTCATTAAGCTATAAACTGAGATGAATTTCTAAATAGAATTGTTCAATTTCAAACACTAAAAAAAATCACTACTTTGAAGATTTTGATTTCCAATTTGTTGTCTTTTGGGGAGGTTGTTAGTTTAGTTTTTTGAGTTTTTTTTTTCAAATGTGTTAACTTTAAAGGAGATAACCTGGGGGAAGGAATTGCTTAGATAGAAATAAGGGAAATAAAAGTATTAATACTGTCTTTCTGCTCTAATCCTGCTCACCTAATTTGCAGGGGTTTATATTTTAAGGTATATGGGGAAAGTCCCTTTCAATGTATAAAGTTCATGAGTCAAGTAGCAAGTCCTATTAAACCCAGAAGGAGACCAAATATTAGATAAAAAACTGACAAAGCAGGAGTCAACGAGGAAGAGCTTACTTTGAGGAACATGAACACCAATATAATCTTAAAGCTGGCAGACTAGAAAATGGTGTTGAATGTTAGCAATAAAGCTTGAACTGGACTGTATTGCTACAAACCATTACTAAACAGACAATATGGATGGACCTTGAGGGCATTTTGCTAAGTGAAGTCAGTTAGACAAAGAAAGGCAAATACCATATGATCTCACATATATGTGGAATCTAAGAACAAAAACAAAACACAAGCTCATAGATCCAGAGAACAGCTTGGTGGTTGTCAGGGGTAGGGGTTGGGGAAGGGAAGGGAAGAGGTGAAATGGGTAAAGAGGGCCAAAAGGCACAAATTTCCAGTTATAAAATAAGTAAGTCAAGGGGATGTAATATACAATGTGGCGACTAGTTAGTTAATACTGTATTGTGTATTTGAAAATTGCTGAGAGAGTAGATCTTAAAAGTTCTTACTTTAAGAAAGAAAATTTATAACTACGTGTGGTGATAGATGTTACCTAGATTTACAGTGGTGATCCTTTCACAGTATATACAAATATTAAATCATTATGCTGTACACCTGACACTACTTTAGTTATGTCAATTACACCTCAGCTAAAACAAAAACATGCAGCCCCCGCCACACACACACACACACACAAATTCTTCACAAAACAAAGATACACTAGAAATTTAAGTCAATTCCTCAAATATTTAATATGTACTGTGTTGGTCACTAAATAAATTGTAGCAAGAGACCAGGGCTAAGAATAAGCATAAAAATTCTACCTAAATATAATCATGCCTTTCAGAACAGATGAATAACAATAGTATAGTATATGGCGAAACAATGGAAATCAGAATTTGACAGCTGTCAAACAGAAAATAATGATAAACTGTGAAAACGGACTCAGCATTATACCTAAGAAATACTTGGTTTTGTTTAAGGACTGTTAAAGATGAAACAACAGGTTGCTTAATAGTCCATTTTCCTTGAAAAAAAAATGAATGTTAATATTTGATTCCGTTTCCAAAAAACCTATTTTTAATTGTAACTTTAGTCTCTTCACTAAATTCTCCCACAACAGCAGGAACTACAGAACTAAAGATTAAATGGGCTTCAAGTTCTAGGATAAAAAAGCCAAAAGTAAAAAAGTTAAGGACACCAAAGTCAGAGAAGGTACCCAAGAGAAGACTTTGAGGATTATAGTTGGTGTACAGTATTAGTACAGTGTCTCCAGTAAACAATTTCAAAAGAAACTTCTCAGACTATGTAATTCTGAAATGTGTTACATGGGTTCAAATTCCAGCTACGCTACTCCCTGTGAATGAATCATATATTTCTCTATGCCTCAATTATCCTTATCTAGAAAAAGGGGATGATGATAGTATTACAATTTCACAAGAACCCTCACATTAGGGTTAAATGAACTAATTCATGAAAAGTGTTTAGATGATTATCTGGCATATATCAAGTCATTAAGGATTAGTTGTTGCTATTCCCCCACAATTTAGAAAGAAACGGAACAGAAGAATTTAATTTCTCTGTGGGGAGGACACAGATGGTCAAGAGAGGTACCACAGCAAGCTTAATAGTTCTTCTAGTACAAGAGGCCAGATAGAATGAGGCATTTATCTTAAGGCAAGCTGCTTATTACCTTATTAGATGAGTAGAGTTCCAAACTTACCGAACCAAGGGACCAGATCTCACTATGTAGCTATTTTATTTAATCCTCATAATTTTGTTTTCACAGAAAAAGAAACCCAGGTGCAAAAAATTTACCAATAGGCCCAAGGGTCACATCTCTCCACTCCATTTTAGACTTTGAAAGTGGGAGTGATGTTCCACTTTTCTGTTGAATTTGCTTTTATTAAACTGGTCTTCCAGGATTTGATGAAACCTGGGGAAAATAGCATGAATTTACTGTATCAACAGACTGACCAAGCAGGACTAGGGAAGAGTTACTTCATAGAATCAGTTGATGTCCAGTTAGAGTGGCACCAAGAGTCTCAGAAAAGAGCAAGCTAGGCCAATGGGAATTTATTACGTGTAAGTTAGTGTAGATACAGACCGAGTCTGGACAACCTGAAAGCGGGGACTGAGAAAAATTGTTTTAGGCAGAATCCAATGTTGGGAGATGACAGGATTTAAGTGAACAACAATTTTTAAACTCTGACGTCAAGAAACCAGTGAACAACCAAAGAAGGTGGCTTGGGCACACAGAGATAGGGGCCTATGATATGTAATGATCACCAAGGATACTTTAATATGAGGCATTAGTGGCCTGAGAGGGAGATCAGCAGCTATAGTGATAGCTTATCAAAATAATCTTTTGATCAGTCAACAGTATTTACTGAAGTCTGATGCGCAAGGTAAAGTGGGAGGTAACACAGTGGTAAAACGCCAAATGTCATTTATATTTCTAAACATTTCATTACTTTTTTCTAACAGTCAAGTCAGTAAGTGAGGTAGTTACTGGCTGGTCTACACTAAACCATTACTGAATTAATGAATATGCCTTCAAGTGGAATAAAGGGGTGGGGAGACTGGAGGAACCAGTTGATGGGGTTAAGAAGGCACTTCTGTAAGGTTAATAACCAAGCGTTTTTACAGCACTTTTACCTTTTGTAAGTCACCTACGCATTTATTATTCTCCCAGTTACAACTCTAAAGCCTTCAAGGGAAGGCAGTTAATGTTTTTATTTAACTGATGAGGACACCAAGGCCCAGAAAGCCTTATTGACTTGTTGCAAACACATATCAGTTGCAGGGGCAGGAACTAAGAACCCAGGCTTCTTGCTTCCTCGACCATTGATTCTTTCCACTGAGCAACACTGCCGGGAACAATCAAGCGGCTTGGAAACTGGGAACAAAACCCCGTGGTTGGAGCACTCGCACTTCACATTTGGGCCTGAACTTGTTGCCCATGCGGCCTCAATGGGAGGAGGGTGGGTTGTTCGTCGCGGTTTGGGTTGGGAGATAATGGCAGGCTACCCTCATCTGTGAGAATCAGCTGGTTACTTACTCATACTGCCCATTCCTTTGGGCTAGGGTCAGGGTGCAGGGTTCCCGGAGAGGACCCTTCATCTCCATACCCTCGACAGTATGCAGGCGCTAGTCAAGGGTCTCCTCTAGAAGCGCAGCCAGGGAAAGGTGGCGCGATGCGGGGCGTAGGGAAGCTCCCGCCCCTCTGCCCGCCCTCCCCCGTGCCCCAGACATCGCCTCCCGCGCCGGGCCCCCTACCCAGCTTGGCTCGGCCTATGGGCCTGTCGTTTCCCCACCCTTCGGCTGCGTGCCACAGTTCCCCCACGACCCCCAGGCCCCGCCCCGCGCGGCCTCCCCTCCCCCTTCTCTCAGGCGGATACAGCGAGGGGCTGGGCTCCGCCGGGGAGCGGCGGCTCCATCCGTGCGACCTCCGGTCTCAGCTGGGCAGCGGACTACAAGAGGATCCGACGACGCTGCCTCCAGCGTCCTCACTCCCACTTCCTCGGCTCCGCGTCGTTTGAGTTGCAGTTCCGCTCCGGGAGCCGGGAGCCGGGACCTTGGAACCAAGAACCGAGACCTGGAAGCCTGGAGCCTGGAGCTGGGCGCCAGAAGCTGGGAGCCGGGCGCCGAGAGCCGGGAGCCTGACCCGAGAGAGAGCGGCGCCTCGCGCCCCAGCCAGTTTTCCAGGCCGCCGCAGAGTCCGCCCCCTCCGGCCAACCTGGGTAACTGCAGCGAGACACCGGACGGACGAGGGGCGTCTAGACTACGTCCAGCAAGGAATACATTTATATGCTGCTGCCTGTGACACCAGAATTGTTCAGGGGACTTTGAAGATTGCCACAGAAACAAAACACACTCATACCTACTTAAACCTACGGGAGAACTCTAATGTGTTGGGCCAATAGGCTCCACATCATCCAGTCAGAAAATCCTTAGTACAGTTAAAACGCACCTTGCCGATTATCCTCCATTTCAGATGTTCTCCCCTTCCCCTCCTTGCTTCCACCCGCGAATTCGGAAAAATCCCCAAAGCTCAGACCTTTGCTCATCCTTTACGTCTGCTCCACGTGACCTCTAAGCAAAGACCAAATATGTATTCCTGGCCCGGAGGCATTGCCTAATATATATACCCTATTGTTAACACAACACTAGCCCACAAAAACTTTAACTCAGCATCATTTCACACAGGTACCCGGGCTCGAAACTTCAAAGCCATATGCTTTATTCCTCTTTCTTAATTTTCTGTATCAATCAGCCAACAAACCTTGTTAATATTTTCTCTGGAATTACTTTTAGATTCCTTGTTTTCTCTCCATCGCACTGCCATCATTTTATTGTTAACCCTAGTGATACTTTTTTTTGGCCATTTTACTCTCTTAAACATTCTTCCCAGAGTAATGTTACCATTTGCTCAAGAGTCTACAGTGGACTAGATATCAAGACCGATTTTAAACCTAGAGTAATTAAGACAATATGGTTTGGAGCTAAACCAATGAAACAGAATACAGAGCCCCCAAACAGACCCATACATATATGGAAAGTTGATATGCAAGGTATGTGACATTTGAAATCAGTGGGGAAAGAATGGATTATCCTCTAAATGGTACTGGGACTCTTTATCATCCATGTGGAAAATTATAAAATTCGATCCTTAACCTCACACCATGGAGGAAAAAATTAGTTCCAGGTGGATTCAACATCTAAACATGAAAAGCAAAACATCATAACTTTCAGAAGAAAATAGGAGAATATCTTTGTGACCTTAGAATAGGGAATGAGAATGACTACTTAAGATGCTAGACAGCACAAACAATAAGGGAATTGATAACACATTTAACTACATTAAATATCAAGATGTATGTACTTCAAGACAACATAAACAAGTTAAAAGACAACCCACAGACTGGGAGAATATACTTTCAAAGTGTCTAACTGACAAAGGCTAATCTATGAGGTTCTATGCTTCTCACTGCCATCACCTTTCTGACTTCCTCTCCCACCACTCTCTCCAGCCCACTACTGCTCATTGCTATTCCTAGGACTTGCCAGGCACACTCGTGCCTCAGGGCCTTGGCACTTGCTGTTCACTATGCCTGCATTCTCACCTCCTTCAGGTCTTTGTTAAATGTCACTTTTTCAGTGGGGCCTTCCTAAACAACTTTATTTAAGACTGCAACTCAACAATCGCCTTATCCAATTAAATAAACACATGCTCCCTATCCATCTTCTATGTTTATTTTTCTTTGTAGGACTTATTGCTATCCATTTTTCTATTTTACTTATCAGTTTCATTTATTGTTTCACTTCCCCCACTAGATGGAAGTTCCATGAGATCAGGGGCTTTGTTTTGTTCATAGCTGCATTCCCAGAACCTAAAATCATTCCTGGAACAAAGTAGATACTAGAAAAATACCGATTAAATTGATTAATGAATTAATATCCAGAAGATATGAGAACTCCTATAAATCAGTAAGAAAGAGAAAGAAATCCAGTAGAAAAAGTGACATAATATATGAACAAGCAATTCATATCGAAAGAAACCCAAATGGCCACTAAAAACATGAAAGGATGCTTCACTTTGTTACTATTCAGGAAAACTGAAAATTAAAATGAGATATCATTTCACAACCATGGTTTGGCAAACATTTTTTAATTTATTTTTTCCATTTTAAAGATGAGAAAACTGAGATTCAGAGAAGTTTAGCAACTTGCCCATTAGCTAGTAAAGGGCAGAATTAGGATTCAGGCTTATGTTTGTCAAACTCCAAAGCCCAAGCTTTTTAACCAAAAACCAAACACATGGAGTTCATTCAGTAACAAGAGTTTTTATTTAGACTGTTCTATGTGCCAGGCAGGCACTATGATAACTGATTTCCCTGAATTTTCACATTTAATCTGATGAAATTGAAGTCCAGAGCAGAAGGCTTGGGAACTTAAATAAGAAGGGAACAGGCACTGCTGGAGAGTGGTAGTGAATCCAGAAAAGCTAATAAAGGGTTTTAGAGCAACAGAGACAACCTACCTGGAAGTAGATGACATGAATTTCTATAGTGTTCCAAGTCAGCATGAGTCTGTAACATTCTCTGGCAATGCTCAAAGCAGGAGTAGAGAAAATATATCAGAAAGGGGCATTAAGCTTGGGAATTTGTATAGCAAGTAAAGCAGAAGTTCACAGGATGAGGGAGTGTAAGTGGTGTTTAGGATGCATTGAAATAGTTGACACTGGAGTCAAAGTTGGGTAAAGACATGTATCCTATCAGCCTAGGGCCAGCAGAGAGGAAGAAGGCAAGATGACTAATATAATCATTTCCCTAGGCCTGATCCAGCCGCAAATTGTTGTAGCTCCTTTTTTAGGATCACTTTGGGGGACTATGCTTACTTATGTGCTTCTGTATGTGTTTAATTTTTGTAAGTTAGCTAAAATATTATTTCATCCACCACTGTCTCCTGACTTAGCTATTGTTAATGATACCACTGTAGTCACCCAAGTTTGCAACTTCAGATTTATCACTGAGCCCTGATTCTCCTTCACCTATGATATCCAGTAACTCACATTTTGTCGGTTCTATAACAAAGTCCTTACTAGAGAGTTCTGATCATCCTCACCTATCATTATCATTTTGCCTAGCTAATAAAGGTCTTATGCCCTATACTTGTATTTACATACAAGAGATATCCAGTGCAAAAGGTTAAATGGTCAGTGAACAAAATTCAAATATGTGAAACTCTAACTTCAAGAAAACGTAAGTCTCACCACCTTCACTACCACCAACACTGCCACACACACACACACACACACACATGATTCAGTGGATGCTTAGTGCTGTCATTTATCCATCAGACCACTATAACTAAGTGCTTAGACCTTACAGGATTTTCGGAGACAAAATAAAAAAAGTGAGATCTTGAAAAGAGACTATGAAATACTAAAAGAAAACAGAAAACTAAAGAACAATAATCTAATTAAATGGCTACAAAATTTGACATATATCAAGTTCATTAATTATTAAATTTTGTATTTATTAAAAAATCCATTGTCTTTGAAAACAATTTTCAGGTTGGAGCTTCTCACTTCCCATGAATTTCCAAGTAAGCATAACGATTATGAAGAAATCACAGTCATTATCAATTAAATTAGCTGTGCACAGATAAATAATTTCAAGAGCAAAGTAACAAAAGCCACTTTCAAAAATTTATGGCAAAAGTATTAATATTTAATGCAGAATGTTGATGCATTTTAATATGTTTAATATGATGATAGTTGAAGCCTTCACAAATGAGAGAGCTTAGGGCCTGAAAAGGCAAAAACAGGCCTGCTTAACATAGATGAGGCTGGGGAGGAAGATTTCACGTAAGTGAGTCAGCAGCCAGAGAGGCTGGAAGGCAGGCTGAGCAGAGGCATAAATGATTCATTGATTTTTAAATCAACACTAGTTGAAAAGCCTCGTTTTTTTTTTATACACATACCCAACACAGATACTTCTTTCCACACAGAGCAACATGAAGAGCTCATTTTTATATACATATTTCCATTTGTACTCTTTACTCCTTATAGAATTTGGGGTGAGAAAGGCTCATTAGGTGGCCACAGGCAAGGCAGGCAAGTTAGGGTTAGGGGCAGGAGAAGCTGGCCTCCTTTGGCACACCAGGCCCTCCTTCCCCACTCTAAGTCTCACCTGCCCTTTGCTACTTGATTCCTCCCTGGCTAGTTTCTTAATTCCCTTTGCCATCCACCCCTATTTCATTCTCTTGGGCCAGGCTCTCCTTCCTGCTTTGAGAATCCCTAGCCAGGTCTGGCATTGCCCAGGCCTACTTCCCTTCTCCCCTCAGAAATTGAAGATGCTGCATTGGAAAACTACAGAGTTAGCCTGGCACTGAACACTCCAAGGATTCTGTCCTGAACATATCTTTTCAGAGTTACTTCCCACGACAATTCTTCACAAACCGTATGCTCTACCCAGCATTTCCCTTAGGAATTGAGCCCATGCAGCATTTAGTGGCAAGCAGATGGGTGTGCTCATTGACCATTCAGCTGAATATTGCTAACTTGCTCTTGACCTTTATAGAGTGTTAAATTTTTTTAATGGGCATAAGCTGGTTATTATATAGCTACAG